CTTGTTGTGAGCTTGGGTCACATAGCTACTTGACAGTGGTTGACGCAGTCGGAGACACTAAGAATTGCAAGTGCTAAACCTAGATCGAATTCAAGTTCACAAGCGATGAACTTGAAGGATAAAACTCTGGAATCCACCATAATAGGATTTTGGAATCCACCAAAAAGAGAAAACTTTGAAAGTTTCTATTAAGAATAATAAGAGATGTCTCTTGGTTACAAAGTAAAAGTATTTAAATAGTAAAACAAAACCCTGAGAAAATAACCAAAAAAAAAAAGGAAAAACACTTAAAAGTCCAAAATAAGAAAAATAGAAAAATAAAAGAAAATAACTCCTACATCAGGCTCTTCCGCTTTCTTAGAACTCGACCTCGAGTTCTAATCTGGATAACGAATCACATCTAGCTTGAATGGACAACCATATTGGCTAGGTTGTAGCTTGTTGTACCTCAAGTTCTTTTCTGCATTAAGAACTACATCTATGTTGAATGGATCATAGTTGGTAGGTTGCAACTTGTTGTTCGTACCAACATGAAATCTCATCTTATAAGACAACACAATCACATCTTCACTCTCTTCGCAAAATTTATTCCTCGTACACTTGTTAGAAGTGACCTCGTTCTCACGTTGATCATACGATACCAATTCTTTGAAATCATGGGTCACTAACACCACTTCTGGAATTATTGTCTCTTTTATTTCTGAAGTTTTGTCCAACAATAGAATATCAACCGTCAAATCTTTACTTTGATAATTCCTTTGATCAATCTCTTTCTTCATTGGTTCTTCTTCATTAGAATTGGAACTTTTCACAATGACAACATTATCGTCTTCATTTTTTGGAACCCTAATTAATTCTTCTTCTTTGTCTTTTTGTGGAATTCCAATCTTATTTATCAACGCCTTTATATGATTGGTAAAATCAGTTACATCCTGATTGTTTTCACCATTTAGAAGCCTCATTGATTTTCTTTCTTTGCCTCTTTGTTGTTTGTTGCTGAAGGTGTTTCTAATGTCAATTGTTAAGATCGCTATCTAATAGGTCAAAGTGGTTAAAGCCGCCTTAACACCATGTAGATCAGATTTGATAGCGGGTTGATCTCCCATGATCAAG